CTCGTAAAGCATTACTAAGTTGGGAAGCACTGAGAACTTCAGATTCACGGAGACGTTATTGGTTAGGTACATTAGAAATAGTTACAGTTGTAACAGTTAGATCTCCTTCAACGGAGATCCGATGGATCATGATTAACAGAACAATCAAACTTCAAAAGTTTTAAACTACGCCAATATTATTTGAAGAGGAAATTTCCTTTTTAGTTAAAAAAATCCAAAACAGCTCGAAGCTTCTGAAAGTTATTTTATAAAAACATAGAGCTTAAAAATGTTTCTAGATAAAAAGAAGATGAGTTTTATAAGGAGAGGAAGAAGTGGAAGTAGATCTCACCGTTTGTTTAAGCTTTCAAATTCTTCGTCGGTCACTTGACCTCCAAACACCACTTTTCTGATTCCATCCGACGGCTGCCATTAAGTTAAAAAAAATAAATCAATAAAAAACACTAATAACATGGCAGAACAGACTTTTTTCAAAGAAGAAGAAGAAAGAACCTGGTGAGGGCGGGTGGAGCGAGGGGCGGAGGAATCGGGTTGAGGAGAGTCCTCGGACCAAGTGAGAAGATCTGCAGTGGAAGTGTGTGGTTTCCTCACAGGCGTGCTTCTCTCCATTATCGTTTGGGTTTTCTCTAATTCCACTCTCAAAACTTCCAACAACACAATAAATGCTTCTAATTAAATGAAACAAAGGGAGATTCGGTTCCTCTTCGACAACATCAACAGGAGTTTTAAGAGCTTTGAAAGTCAAGTAAAGCTGGATCTGAGAGAAATAACGGAAGCGCGTGTGTTTGTGTTGTACTTTCTCTCTCGACTCGAGTTTAAAAAAAGGGTAAACTACATCATTCCTCATAATTTGACTTTTTTATTTCACTCATTGTACTTTTATATTTTTTAATTTAATCACTAAACTTTCAAATTGATTATGTTTTGATCATTCTAAATTATTTTAATATTATTTTGATATATATGACATTTTAATTATTATTTAATATAAAATAATTTAAAATAAAATAAATATTATTCGCTAACATTAGATGTTGTTGTCGACGATTGTAGATAGTGGTCGTTTGATGTTAGATTTTATTAGTCGTTTCGTATAAACCCCTTAAATCTGAATATAACCTCTATTTTATCAGATCATGCTCCGAATCTGATCAAAAGTGAGAAAACTGAAATGCCAATCGCCGTCAACCGTCGTAGATGGTGATCATTCGAAACCCAGATTTTATGAGTCACTTTGCCTCGACCCCTTGAGTCAAAATCCAACCTCTATTTTGTCGGAACATGCTCCTAAGTTCACAAATAGGAGATCAAAAAGTGAGAAAACTAAAATGTTTCAATCGAGATTCATAGATTTTGGGACATTTTTCATGAAGTAATCACCATATTCGGAATCAGCGCGTCAAAGCAGGTCTCTTGGCATAATTTGGGATCAAACGATTGTCAATTCTAAAGGCCGACGATGGTTAACGGTGACGAGAAATGAAAATAACGATGTTGTAGATGGTTGAGAAGTGAAAATATTATTTAATTATTTATTTTAAATTATTTTTATATTTTAATAATAAAAAAACCATGTCATAGAACAACAATAATAAAATAATTTGTAGTGTTCATAATAGAAGTAATTCAAAAATCAGTGAGAAAATTATAAAAATTAAAAGTATAATGAATGAAATAAGAGAGAGTAAAGTTTAGAGGTTAATGATGTAGTTTACCCAAAACAAAGGAGGAATGCTATAATTTAGAATAAATTACATCATTAGTCATCAATTTATTGTTTCTTATTTTGGTCACTATACTAGTTTTTTTTGTAAAAGTGTCACTAATATATTACCTTTCTTTCTATTTTGGTTTCTGGCCAATAAAAATTTAACCAAACTATAATTATATCTAGGGACCATTTGTTTTATTTTTACCCTAAGATTATTGTTATATTCCTCCACTGCTTTACTTGCTCCTTCGTCTTTCTCCCCAACCAAACAACATTTAACTGTTAAGGGTTTTTTTGTTTTTACTATTGTTTTTCTCCAAATCACCGTGAGGATTTTTTTTGGGTTCTCTTTCTTCTCAACCCAACAGATAAGCAACTCCCCCTCTCTCGGCCTTGATGCAAAATGGAAAATTCCGGTGAAGGTTTCTCTCAGTTCGATATATCAAAAGAGGTACTTTTTTTTTTTCTTTTGCTTCAGTTTCTGCTAATACATTTTGAAATGTATAATTCAATCAGTTAAAAAGTTATTTTTTTGTCTAATTATGTTTTGGTAGGAAAACGACAAGCTTGTTGCAGAAGTAATTCGTTACATACTGTTTAAAACACATCAGACCTCAGGGTGTCCAATTAAAAGGGAAGAGCTCTCTCAATTAGTCACTAAAAACTATCGTCACCGTTCACTTCCTGCTTATATCATTAACCAGCTAAAGAAAAACTCTCCTCCATCTTTGGTTACGAATTGAGGGAGCTTCAAAGATCACGCCCTTCTTCCACTAACCAGTCCCGGTTATCTCAACAAAGTAACAATTTATTGCCACTCTTTGTTTGAAATTCTATTGATTCCTATTAACTTTTTGTTCTAACATTAATTTCAACGGTGCTTCTTGTTTTTAAGGTGGAATTGATGCCAAATCCTATGTTATCGTAAGTCAGTTACCTGCTGAGGTGTATAAGAAATACGTTGAGGATGTAAATACATCTCATAGGACTGGCTTTACTTTTGTTGTGATTAGTATTGTGCAGCTTGCCGGAGGCAAAATTGCAGAAGGTACACTTTATTGATCTATGTATGAGCTCTAAAATTTGGGTACTGACTTTTGTGGCTAAACTTGCTGTGTGTTTATGTGAATCTGCTTTTTCTTTGTCTTGTATATTTATAGATCATATGCTTTGTAGGCTGTCCTGTATTACTGTCATTCGGGTGAATTTATCTAGCTGAAAGTTCTTATCAACTTATCACATGATTAATAGTGTTTCTTTGATGAATTATGGGTTGAATTTGATTTTCTTTTTTTCCTGCATGTGAATTAATCCACTTGTGCAGATAATCTTTGGCATCATTTGAAGAGGATGGGATTGCACGAAACCGATGAAAACCACCCAATACTTGGGAATGTGAAGCAGTCATTGGAGATGCTAGTCCAGCAAAGGTTAGGGTCTATCCGATAGTTCATTGTTCATAATGCCATTTACTTTCAACCACCAGTTGGCTTGGACAGTTCCTGTACTCTTCTTGTAGATATCTGCAGAAAGACAAGGTTAGTGGCCCTGAAGGTACTACTTTGTTTTATGTGTTTGCTGAGAGAGCTCTAGAGGGCACCGTTAGTGAGAAAATTAAGCAACACATGACACAGGTATTGATAACATATGCCCTGTCTGGTCTTTATGGCTGATATTTACTTAAGCATTACAAGTTATTTTTAAATGCATTTACACTGCCTGGTGCCTACATCCTCAAGCACTGCTTTATTCTCTGTGATAACTTTTATTTTTTCATGTAAATTTGATTCTAGCAAGTTCCATGAATTCAACTGATGATGGAACTTTTCCTTTCCATTGTTAATTGTAGTTGTGTATGTCATAGGCGCTCATTAGAGATACATGACATACTCAATGTTATAATGTCGTTGCTTTAATGTGCTAGAGTACAACTATTTTTCTTGGAGACGGGTACTTTTTGTTGCACAATAAAGCTGCAAGAAACACTTTCCTTATCATTAATAATTTGTGCTCATGTACAACCATGTATAGATTCATGCAACTGTTGTAGATACAGATTTGAAACTATGGATTCTGGTTTTGCTTTCATTTTTGTGGACCTTAATTCTTTTTACAGGGTAAGTTTTAGGGAAAATACAGCTAGCTATCTGTACAAACATATAGATACATGTCATTTCCAAAAAGACTGCATTCTGCTGGCCCTTTGCTATCGTGGATATTTGTTCAACTTATAAGATAGAACATTGATGCCTTGGAATATTGTATTCTGGAACAATGAACTTTCTATAATGCATTTTCATAACATTTAACATTGATTCCTTTGATATCTTTTTTGATGGCACTGACCTGTAGGGATGTCTTATGTTGGCAGATTGTGAAGAAAGATGACACCACCGTGGATATCTCATAACAGCTTGGTGCTAGCTCTTACTGAGTAAATAGAGGTGGACATTCGACTTCTTGTTCCATGTCTGGCTCGTTACTGAATGAAGCTCAGTTCCTTAGTAGATGTTTTTTTTTCTTCGTGCAGTAGGTTTAGGAGCCTTACTAGTCTTTTGGGTGCTGCTGCAATTGCTTTTGATTTTGTTCATTGTTAGCCGGGCACCCTCCTACTATTTGTGTACCACATTGCGATCAGTGGGGGTTTCTGGGATTTGAACAGATTGGTTTAAGGCAAAAATTCAAACAGGAAATACTGTTTCATTTTGACATTCTGTGTATACAACTGAACAAGGTGGTTAATGGGTGACATATTATGGTTTTGGATGGTAATGATGTGGGGTGATTATTTTGGTTTAGACATTCTGGGTTATATATACGCATACACATAGGGATGTCAGTGGGTCGAGTTTCAAGGGACCCCCACTTCGCACCCAATTGGGCGGAATGGATACAGATTTCATGGGTGGCTGAGCAGTAATAAAGACAAAAAATACTCATCTCTTATCTTCTTTTATTTCACTTTTTCTTTTTTGTAAAACAGACTCAAGATTGATTTATGTTTACATTCTCTCTCCCACCTATTTTTCACCCAAGTAATTAAAACCAAAGAGATTTTTGCCATTGGAAAGGTCAATTACAAGTTTCAAACAAGTTAAACCACCCGACACCAAACACCAAAGTGAGACTGATACAAGTAAAATAACTAGTCGTCTTTGCAGTTTCAAATAACAATACAGAACATGTAATTTAGGCCTACTAGTATTTAACAAAAAGTTGCAGACAAAACCAGATGACAGCTTTGCGGTTTTTGGCAGAATCCTATTTACAAGTTGCAGTGCCGCTTTATGTGTAAACATCATATTCTAGATCATATCAACAAAAGATAAATAACTAGTACAGGCTCAATATAACATAGCATAATTCAAATTAACACCAAAGCTAGTGCATTGACAACTCATGAAACAAAAGGGCTCCTGCTTCCCCGAGATTTGGCCAAACATTCCACAGGAAACAAATATAGGTACATCCCACACCAACCGAAGTTAGTGACATCCGGTTATCGGCACAGCACGACTAGTGTTGGTATCACCGATTGAGACGGTTGCAAGGGATTTAGAGGCCCATGCTCTAGCATTCATTGCACCTTGCAAATTGCTCCTCTTGCAGCAAGGTTCCTTCAGGGAATTAAACAGCTGAATTGCTCGTTTCAGATATGCCAAAGGACGTTCCAGCAAAGCCCCGAATTTCACATTTCGGACCAACCGTGTAAACTGTGCAATTACAAGCATAGTTGGATACAATAGGTAAAGCAATCTTAAAAGCACAAAAGTGGTAGCTAGAGCCAAATATGTCTCTTGTCGAAGTAAATTCTCTGGAGATCTTGCCCATGGGAATGGGCAGCTTTCCTGCTCAGTGCTATTATGCTTCTCATGATTCGACAAGTGACTGATTCTGTCCAATGATATTGTATCCAGAGAGTTCTTAATGCCTAGAACAATGTAACATATTCATTAGAATATTAAACGGGGGCAATAGGAAAAAAACAAAGGGGAAAAAATACCAGCTAAGATTAATGGAAAAGCATATAGGTTAGGCATGCTTTGCATAGCCTCCAGATGTAGAATATTATTAAACGCCATCAAACCTTGTTTTCAACTGAACTCCCCATCTTGGAAATGAATGAATCACAAATTAACATTCCTTGATGGGGAGAATTTTTGAACGGGACATGAAAGGAGGTAAGAAACCCAAAGAAGGGGGAAAATTAAGAAATAAAAAACTCCTGAAGTATTTACTATGGAAAGCAGGATCATAGAATCTAATAAGAAATACAAGATTCCTCTTCAGTTAACTTTATCACCTTTTGCATCATCTTATCCAAGTTGGATTATGCAATCTTATGATGAGAAGCAGGATTGCAATAATTTGGATTGTATTATGAGTGGGATGCTATGGCACATTTGTCTTTACGTAAGCCAAAAGAAAGACAAAATGAGGACATTTACTACTCAAGACTATCTTATCACTCTTATCCTACTGAATCCATAATCCTATGCACTAAGCACTAAAAAAGAGAATTATCAACTGAGCACCAGACAGACAGGTTAACCACACAAGACAAGTTAGAAACAGAAAGCATTTTTAACCAAAAATTAAAATGAAAACCACATAAAAGCATGACAATGCCCATTAGTCAAAACATATGAATAGAGATGATCTCCACTTTAAACCTACTAAATATATCAATTCAATGAAACATAGATATCACAAAAATCCGAAAGTTGCAGAACAAAGGCCTTACCAGTGACATCACCATAGAATGCACTGAGAGATTCCAGAGACCGATTTCCATGATAACGAGCACGCATTGTAGAATTTAAAAGGAAAAAAGTAGGAAATCCATGAACTCCATACTTTGAGAGTATGCTGAAGAAATCAAAATCCACAATTTAGCTTAGCTTGATATACATACTCGTAGCATGGATATACCAAATGGCAGATATTCATTCGCAAACCTTGGCCTGACAGCTGCTTCGTCTATGGCGAAATGAGGAATAGAAGGATAAGAAGAAGAAAGGATATTGAAGCTTGGTCTAAAAGATCTTGAAAAGGGGCACCAAGATGCATAGAAAAGCACTGCTACATATTGATGACTGTTCTTGTAAACCATGTTAAGCGCCTTTTGGAATGAAACCTCATCTCCCTTCACCGTATTAAAGAAAAAGTGTAATTAAAAACCGCGCAGAAAAGAAGTACAATCATAATTCAAGTCAATTTCGAACGTGAACTTGTTTAAATAATGTTAGTTCCTTTAGACCCAATGCAATGAACTAATAGAAATAAATAAATAAAAGCTTAAAGAAATTTAAGGTATCTCCAATTCCATCACGATCAATCGTAAGATTCTTGAGAACTAATCCAGCGAATTCATACAAAAATGCAGAACTAAATGATTTTTTTTACCAAAAATATTTCTCAGCTCATACTTGACAATTACCGTATTTTCCCCAATCTTGAGAAACCATGCTCCAACTTTTCTAAATCAAACAAAATGAAAACCCTAAATACATTCCTTTTCTTTTTGCATATTACTTATCAGCTTAGAAAAAAGGCTCCTAATTAATAATTTCCAAAACCTCAAATCAGCCGAAAAAAAGAGAGATAATTTAAAAGAAAGGGATGAAATGAATAAAAATTGAAAGGGAAAAAAAAGAAGGAAATGAAAGACAGAATGCGAAGGTACCACGGTAACACCAACGAATTCGATAGATTCAATATGTGTTGAAGGAATTGGACAATAGGAGTCTCGGAAGTCAAAGATCGCATCGGGAACGGAGACCTTGGGACATAACGGAACCCTAAAGGGAACGAAGACGGCGGACGTTAGCCTCCACCAGAAAACCAATATTAGCAACCTCGTTTGCCATGCCTTCGTACCCATAAACTACCGACGGTGGTTTGCCGATTGATTATGAAGGTTAAGAATCGAGGCCAAAACCTTTGATTAGGTTGTACCCAACGTATCACCACTGAATTAACTTGAGTAATATGTTATATGATTAAGAATTAATAATTTTTAAAACTAAATTGGTATTGAAATTAACTATATTTATTTTATAAAAATATATTGATTATATCATAAAATGTAAAATATTATAAAAATATATTTATAAAATTAATTAAAATATGTTACTTTTATAAAAAAAAAAGAGAGTATTATTACATTAATTAAAATATGTTACTAAAATGATTTTCCCTCTAATTCAAACATTTGGTTGAAACACCATTAATTGTTAACTACAAATGATTTGGTTGGAACATTTAAATCCAAACATCAATGGTCAAAATGAAATGGGATAATAATTAAGTGATCAACCGTGTAATTTACCCAAAACTTAAATATATATATATATATATGCTTCACTTTTTTTAAAAATTAAATATAAAAAATCGTAAAAATTTGACAAGACCCAAAAATTCTTCAAAAAGAAGGTTGAGTTAAAAAAAAATCATTTTTTGCCATTTTTATTATATTTTTACTTTATAAAGACATTTTATGTTTTTTCCCCATTACACTTGACATTCTATTTGGACCATGAGACTTTTTCTTAACTGAGATATTAAAATAAAATTTACATAAGATAACTGAGCAAAAAAAAGATACAAAGGTAAACTGGAATTAAAATAATGAGAAAAGAATAAATACTTGAAATGGTAAAATAGTAAAAACAAATTCCAACATTACATAGAAAAAGAATCAGATTCAGTTGAATAATATTAAATCCGCTATCATCTTTCTTGAATTATAGCATTACCCAATTGCAGTAATTAGTTTTGTTCTCAAGCAAAGAGTCGAATTATTATTTACAATCTAAAGGGTGGCAACATTAAAAACAAAAACCATAGCGATGCTTTAAAATCTCTGTTCCATTTCCATAACACATCACCATATGAAATGTTAACATCGGTCCTATATCAAACATCTACAATCCCAACTTACTATGAAGATGGCGTGCAAGATTAGTGCAAACAAAGCACAAAAAAGAAATGTCATACTGATATGTAGAGAAAACTGAAAAACTACCTCATATCAAATACAACATAATATTTTTAACTACTACTCTTACACGGAATCATCAAGAATATCCAGGGGGAGAGGAGAGGAAGGCTGCTGAGGTCTCTAATGCTAATTGCTAACCTACAACTATAGTTCAGACTATAGCATACCAACAGAAAAAAAAAACTAAAGAAACTGCGGAGGTTGTGATATACGTAGTACATATGAGCAAGCAGTGCAATCGGAAAAAATGTAATTGCTGCACAAAACATTTACTAAAGTACAACAGAAATTAAGGCTATGTTTCTCAGTTATGCCCAGGTCAGTGCCTAATGCTTTTCCCACTTCTTGTGCTGGAAACAAAGGGACCACACAATATCCTTGAGAATCAAACATCAACACAACTGATGAACTAGATGATTTGGACTAAGGGGAAAGCACCAACAGTGAAAGGCAAAACCAAAGTCATACCAGAACTGCAAACTCTGCCTTGTGCAATTTGGGAGGACAAAAGTTTGATCAACCAAAGACTAGTTCAACCTTCAACTTTGTTTCAGATGCTGTCTGCAAAAGTTTAGAAGTCATTAGTGCACCTAAATTTAGCTACCATTTTTAACAATAGTTGTCTATAGGGTTTAGAAGCATCAAGGTTGAGAGGGAAGCAAAAAATATCAACAAATGCCAATGGAAATAAGCAAGCAATAAAAAGAGGCCGTCATTCATTTCATTTTCCATGCTCTCCTAAAAATGAGAGAGATGAGCATATAGACCGAGACATGCAAATACAAAAAGCTCTGAACCAAATTTCAGAACACTTGTCTTGATTAAAAGATAACTTTGACCCCATAATTGTAAAAGTGACAATAGACTTATTTTTGAATAAACGTATATGCCTTTTTTCTGAGTAACTCCAACTATTTCAAGTTATTTTTGCAAGTTGAAAGACTGAGTGGGGTGACTAGAACATCGAATTACATCATTTGAAAGGAAAGGGCCACAGCACATTACAGGCTAAAGCAAATGCATGATATCAGATCTAGAACTTTCCAAAAATCATACAAGAGTATACAATGTACTATCCTTTAATATTTTTTTTGGGCACAGCAGTTGGAATCACGTTAGGGCATGTTACAAAGTAAAAGATTATATTATATACTGCACTATAACACACAACCCAAGCTTCAAAACACCCTTGAAAGGAATCAACTAGATTGAATCCCACTAAAGGATGCCGAAAGCTCTGGCAAGATTTATTCCGTACAACACTTGGGCAAAGGCTGATAATGAGTGACGATGAAAAATTTGTTAATCTAATGGTTAAGCTATGCAGAGTAAGAAAGTGGATATGAATCTTAACCATTTGATAACAAACTTCCCGTAACATTTTTCCATCCATCATGTCAAGCAAACCCTTAGAGGAGAGGCATATTATTAGTAGTGTATTCCAGAGAATAAAATGCAAAGGATAAAAGAGATTGCAAAATTTTAAGCTAATGTATATAGGGGATGGGATCGTTTCCATTGATCATGTTGCGTTATAATATTTAGCAATCAACTTGAACTATCTCACCTTGAGTTGGTAACTATATCAAAACAGTTCTAGCAGTTTTAATTTCCTTTAGAGAACAGTACATACATCAATCAATCTGATCATGAAAACTTGGCTTATATCCAGCAAACAATAGTTTTGTGTGATGTGGAAGTTACCTTGTATTAAAGACCTTGGTAATAACACATTCTGGTATGCTTGTAAACATCCTATTCTACATAAAATCATGGTTCCTAGAGAACCTGGCCCGACAGTTGGCACACATAACCATTGAGCTTCTTTGTGCCCCGATGTCAACAGCCTCATTATAAAGCTCATTTCCACAACAAGAACACACGGTAACCTGATGTCTACCAGCTATTTTAGGCAACAGTGGCAAAGCATCCTTTCCAAGCCAAACAGAGGAATCAAACTTTAATGCCATCTCTGACTCGTATGATGGTACCTTGGAGTTTACTGAACGAGAACTTGGTTGAGAAGTCATAAAACTATATTCCATATGTTCAAAGTTATCAGGTCGCAGCCCTCCAAAACTTGATTCATTACTGCACTTCCCGCTAATGTTGAACATTTCACTTCCACCCTGTGCATTACAACAGAATTTTGCAGTCAAATTTCATTAAGCAAACAACCAATAGTTCATTTTAACGTTTATTTACTTTCAGCATTGGCTCTTAATCATATAATGATACCTTGGAATTCCCTGCACAAGAACTTGGTTGTGCAGTCAGAAAATTGTATTCCATGTGTTCTATGCTATCTGATTGCAGCCCTTCAAAACCCGATACACTGCTGCACTTTCCACTAATGTCGAACATTTCATTTTCACCCTATCAATTACAAGAAAATAGCACTGTCAGAAAAAAAAAGAAAAAAGAAAAAAAACTAGCAACTAAACATAACATATAACACTTGACACATATGTCATACTGTTTTTCTGAGAAAAATAACAGTTTCATGATTTTTTGCAATATATCATAACTTATGGGAGAGAATGAAAGATCATATCTGTACCTTATGTGACATCCAGTCAAATGTAGGGTAATAACCAGATGATGGCAACAACTGAGATGAAGTATCAGGCAAACCACTCAGCAGAACATTTCCTTCATTACTTTTCCATGTGAGCCCAGTCATGGAATCCTCAATAGGTCGGGCATGATTGGAATAACCAATCATTATTTCATTATTCCTTGCATTTTCAAAATCCTGTAACCTAGACCCATTATGAGCTGTGCCTGCATGAAACATGTTCATATTACTTGCAACATGTGTTTGTTCGCCACTGGATAGACCGAAGAAATTCCCAAAAGCACCTTTATTTTGCTTTGGTTCAGGAACAACACCACTGCTAATACCAGGGACATTATTTTTTCCAGCAACTTTTTCCCTATTTCCGACAAAATGAGGGGAACGACTTTCATGCACAGTGCCTGTCGAAGAAAATGTGCCTGGTCTAGCATAAGCACTTCCAGAAAAGGAGCTTACCCCTTTCTGTTTGGACTCCTCTATCGTAAAGAAAGAAGCTTTGTTCATGCTATTGTCATAGTTACTGTTTTGCTGATTAGAATATTGGTGATAGAGAATGCTCTCTGACCCTTTATCCTGTTTATACTCTGGTGTGCTGGTAGATGTTTTCTTATAAGAAGATGGGTCAATTTGGTGATCTTTAGGCTTTTCATGCTTGACACTTCCCAGGATGTTAGCACCCACACCACTGCCATGCCTGTTCACACCTTGAATTAATCCTCTAGAATTTTGGGCTTCTTCAAGTTCAGACATCTCTACCGTCCGGCTAAAGACCTTAAATGCATTATTGTCAGAAGGAAAATTTTGATCCCTTCCATGTGATTGTATGCAATACAGTCTCACTTTTCTTGTGTGAGGGTTTCTTCACAGGGAGATGGCTTTGAAAACAAACAGTAGGATCAATACTTGAAGACTCATTGACCATAATAGATTCCGGATTATCTAATGCTCTAGAGACAAGAATCAAATTATTGTTGATGACATACGTTTGATCATCTTTAGACGAAGTTAAACCACACCCAGAACCTCTTTTATGTGCAGAATCTATTGTAACAGAAGCCCCCTTCAAATGATCTACGAGATTGACTCCTTGTTTGTTGCCAGAAGGAATGAGTGAATAACCTTCACTGTAATTTTCCGGCTTAGCATCAATTCTGACATTATCCAGCCCTATGCTAGTATCAGCACAACCAACTTTTCGATCATCCCTTGTAGCTTTATCCTTCAAATCAGCTTCCATTCCTTTCAAAAAGATAGGAAAATGTCTATCCTCAATATTCATATCATTAATGATGTTTCCCTTAGCATTTGGAGCAAGGAAACTGGTATTCGAAGCAAACTCTCTCTTCTTCTCCTCCACTGGAAGGGCAAATCCTACATCTACTTTACGTGAAGGTTGGGAAATCCCTTCTTTATCAGCCGTAAACAAGACGTTTTCAGAACCCAAACAAACATTAAGATCAGCAGCTGCAGTAGTATCATTGCCGTCTCCTTTATTACCAATTGCGGAATAGAATTTACCTTGTTTATCACAGTTTTTCTCAGCTAAAACTTTCTCCTTGTTAACCTTATCCTGTTCATCACGGGACAATAAATTGCTCTCATGATTGTTATCAGTAAGCGTTTGAACCAAAGGATTTTCATTAGATTCACTGCAGCGAAAACCAAGTCCCATTTCACTGTTGTCAGAAGAATTTATTGGCTGCATGGTGTTTTGCTCTCCAACAAAACCTTCAACTTTCTTCATATTGTTTTCTATGTGGATCCCAAGATGACTACTGTAGCAATTCCTCTCTTCAAATAGTTCATGACAAAACTGGCACTCATATTTTCCAGTTTTGTTTTTTACCTCCCCATTAGTTGAGGTACCTTGTCCAGAACTCATTGGTGATCCTTTGTGAGATGATAGCAGGTGGCATATAAAATCGTCTTGCAAATTAAAAGTCATGGTGCATTTGTGGCATTTTATTATTTCAACTCTCTGGACTTCCCTTGGAATATCCATTCTTTGTAAGGGAGCTCGCTTCTCGGGTTCAGAAGCTCTATTTGTATTTGGCAACTGTAGACAGCATTTAAAATTCTCATCATCAACTGCATAATCAAACGGAGATGAAGTGTAAATGATAATTTACAAACACTAAGAAACTTACATTTCCAGATGAGGGTTTGACACCAAAATCAATGCCACTGTCAGCGAGATTCGAAGTTTCCAAGCTTGAATCTTTAAGTCCACCAAAGGAGAGCAAGTATGAAGAAACCTCTTTGCAGGACGCAAACTGTTGCCCATTAGGGCTGGAAGGTACCGTATTAGGGAAGAGAGTGTAAAAATGTCATGACGAACAAAGTTAACAAAAAAGGAATTGAAAATCATAAGAAACAAATTTCTCGAATCCGATTGTTATCTAGTTCCTTTTCTTTAATAAATGCTCTAAATCCCTCTTACTTGGTATCATGCATCCAACAGCTAATCTGAGGACTAAAGCAAACAAGGAAATAATATAGCACTCAAAGTCTAAAGAGAAGATTCAAGAGCATTATATGAAAATTCACATAAAATGTTATACATAAAATTAGCCCCGAAAATTGATAAAACAATGACGTTTCAGAGCAGAGACTCTAGATTATTCTCTATAAGCCTACAACAGGGAAAAAAAGGAGAACGGAAATTCAACTAAATAAAAAGGCTATCATTAACAAGAAATTATGTGTATTTTATATTTCGCACAAAGTAAACAGCGAAGATAAAATATGCAGGTTATCATTAACAAGAATTTTAAAATAAAGTTCAATAAAAATGTAATGGAAAACCTTATGTATCGGCTACAAGCTAACCAAAAAAGGTTGCCTCTCCTCTTCACAAAGAGCGAAAGCTTCCACCCTTGTGGAAGAATATTCCCAAACCCAGCGGCGTCAACAATCCTCTTCTTATGGCTTTTAGTCAACCAATCCCCTTCTAAACCCCCATAAACTCAAAAAGTTGCGCCTCTGTCACAATCCCCTCAGTCCTCCTCCTCAACTCTTCTTCAATTCCCAGAATCTCCTCCACATTCCCCAATGCTGCCCTCTCAATTTCGCTCTCAAATTTCTTTTGCTCGTTCCAATCATTCTACTTTGACTCTCCTCCTTTCGTGGCCTCCCTCTCTTCCTCTTCACTCCGTTACAACTGCTACTGTTACCGGCATCAGGTGTCTCATTTGGCTTATCTAAGGTTTCCGTTTCTTTACATTCCTCTACTGGTAAACGCTCGCTCTCAATCAGCCAATTATCTTTCCCGTCCTTCCTCGGCCTACCTCGCTTCCTTTTTCCTACACTACTACTAACAATGCCGACTGGAATATTCAGCAAACTCGAGCTCCCGTTCGGATATTCGATTTGAACCGGCACAAGATCCTTATCGTCGTACGGTTCATCGATTACGGGTTAGCAGGCAGCGAATCATCGATGTTGAAAAGTGATTTAAGCAGAGAGAGGGCGTTAGAGCTTTCTTCGTCAAGAGACTCAGGGTTTAGGTTTGGAGGAGGAGGGAAGGGTTCGGACGAACGAGAGGAATGTTGGTCGTGTAGGTGGCTGCGGGAACCGCCGAATCGGAGACGGAAGAAAGTCTGTTTCCGACTACCAGCGGACTCGTTGAAAACGGAGCGGTCAATTTTGGGAGTGAACAGTTCGGTTTCGGCATTGGAAAGAGAAGGAGAAGATGAGCATAAAGATAGGGAAAGGAGTTCGGGTTGGGAGAGGAGGCGGAAGTCTACGACGGGGATAGATTCGAGGTGGAGGTGGTTGCGGTGGTCGACGGTGGCAGTGACTGTGGCCATCGAAATCGCAAAAAGAGAAAAGAACCACGATGCGGAAAGCGGAAGAGTTCTCGATGGAACTGATGAGATGGGATCTATTTTACAGAGAGAGGGATTCGATTTAATTGTCCAACCAAACGTTACCGCGTCGATAAAAAAAGGGTCGGATCGGGTTTAACCGGGTTTTACTACAAGATCAATTTTTACCCAAATATGTTAATTTGGGCTCATTCATGGACTTTAGCTTAATTAAATTAAAATGTCCTGCCCATTCTCAATTGTACTGGCCTCATAAAATTCAATAAGTGGTTTTAATAATCAATGAGAGTGTAGTTTTTGGTTGAGATTTTGGATTCAAGTAATTACGTATGTAGAATGTGTGTGTTGTTAATAATTTAAAAATAGTATTAATTTGATTGAGAAAAGTTTTACGTGGATTTTAAACGTATAAAAATTGAATATGAAATTGGAAACAAGATTTTAGTAAGAGATTCTTCATGAAAGGGAATTCTTCGATTTACTTAAATAAAAAAACTTAACCCAAAATTCATTGTGCTTGTGAAATCATTGAAAGAATTGATCTCGTAAAATATCAATTAGCTCTATTTCCCAAACCATATCGAATTCACAATGTTTCAATGCTACAAAGACATATCGAACTCTTTTCCATTTTATTTGAACCAAATCAACAGAATTCAATCCAATGTGATATAACAAGAAGAACCAATTACAATTCTAACTCAAAAAATGAAAGAATTAAGAAAAAAAGAGAATTTTATAAGTAAAAGTTCTCCAAATAAATCATAAAATCAAATAAGCCACTTGAGAGCTAGATGAGTATATGAGAGATCAATATCTATATTTCTTTTCTTAAAGTAAAATTTAAGGATGATTTTTTAAGGATTGTCTTAAATTGGGTTATAAGCCTTTGAATATATGTCTAAAATGAAACTTAGTTGAATTAAAACAGTGATTTAATTCATGATTATATTAAATTTAAAAAGAAATAATTAAAAGTTCAAAGACAATTTAAGAAGAAGAAGAAGAAGAAAAAGTATGAATCAATGATCATATTATATTAGTTAGTGAAATTTGTGACGAAATCTATATAGGTGCTATTAGATCATTATATTTAAATTATTTTTATTAATTAATATTTTTTGTTAAATATTTAATTATAATAAACTCATCGAGTGGTCTCAATGGTTTAAGGGAGTGTTTTTCTCTCTAAAAATCATGGGTTTGAATAGTTGTGTATGCAAGATGTGTACACATTGTCAATAGTTAAAAAATATTCTAAACAGATACTATCTTATAATCATCTCATATTATTAAAAAAAGTATTTGTTTAAAATAATATTAGAATAAAATAAATCAAAGGTTTCGTTCTCTTTTTGTTAAACAACATTTTTAAGAGAATGGGTATTTTTATAAGTATTAATATTAAAAATGACTCATCACCAACAAAATAACATTTCTTTTCATAGATTTAACCCAAATAAGAAACATAGATATAAACATATTTTGACCAATAATTATAAAAACAGTTTTCTCCCCTTTATATATCTTTAACAGTTTTTTTCTCTCTTCCACCCACAATCGATGTGTCAATTTTAGTATTATATAAAAACCTCAAGGACATAAACAATTTATACTCTATTTATATTTGATTTTACGGTTTATTTTTATCACAAATTCTTCGACTGAGTTGATATTTTTATATCAACTCAGAACGAAGTTTAGAAATAAATTTTCATCGCAAATTCTTTACCGAGTTGATATTTAGATATCAACTCGGAACAAAGTTTCAGTATTAGCATAGCTTTTAAAACGTGAATTGAGGGTTCATTGAGTAAAGGGCACAGCCATTAGCACCACGTATGGTGCATGCATGTCGTTCCAGTACATGTGTTGATCCTTCTAAAGATGTGAAGAGCTTGGAAATTTGTGTTGCACCACAAGGATGCGTTAAAGACTAGTTGTTTCATCAACGGGTTTGTTTTCTAATCCTTTTCCTATAATTTTTCTCCGCCGGAAAACGCCACATCTTTGCGGTTGAAAATCTGATTTTGTCTGTTGCTCTGAATGCACCAGGGAGACATAGAACAGGGCTTGCATACAACTCCGGCCTACTATGTAGCGAGTTAGGCGCCTTCCTCTTGATTTATGGCTATAAATATCTCACGTGATCTTTGCAACACAAATTTCCAGAAAGCTTGAGAATTGATTAGAGATCGATGTATGCTTCAGAATAGGAAGAAGATAAAAAGACTTGGGAAATCTATTCAACCTTAGAGAAATGGTTACGTTCACTTGTTTCCCTTTATTGAAATCAAAGAGCAACAAGAAGAAGAAAGGCAAGGTGAAAAGATTTCAGTTTATTATTTCTATTTTGTGTATATATTTTTTTTAAAAATTACTGGCTTCATTGTCTTCCATTGGTTTATTTTGCAGGGGGTTGATGCAGCTCCAAAAGCTGTCGAGCAAAAGGAAGAGGAAAGAGACCTTCAAAAGGGGATTGAAGAACAGGTGCAGCCTTTCGAGAGCGATGAACCGAATTCAAAAAGCTTCGATATCTTTCGGGAAGAATCTCTTTGCAATGCCAAAGTAATCAGTCCTGAAAGTCCTCTTGGATTTGTAGAATCAGAGGCATATGAAGGGGAGGATGAGCATGAAGACGCCTCTACTAGTAGACGATTCTCCGATTTCGAGTTCCAAGCCCATGTGATCAGTTCAGGTGAATCATTTGATTTTAGAACCAAAAGGGTGGTTTCTTCAGATTCATTTGAAATTGACACTGAGGAAGTGTTCATCTACCTTGATGAAAATGATGACGAAAACGTTGTTGATATGATTGAAAGTGCACATGTATGTGACCCGGGGATCCAGAGGACTGAGTTCTGTGCTCTACCAATCCTTAAGCGTTCTTGCTCTAATTTGGAGACAAGGAATGTGCAAAGGATGGTAGTTGATCAGTTCCTTCGTAAGTCTTGGTCCTTTGAAGAACTGCACGAGTTATCTGCAAGAGCAACGGATTATTTTAATGCCGGTAGCCCTGCTTCCGAAATGACTTGTTGCAGCACTAATGCTGTGGAGCCAGATCAAGCACTGAATGTGGGTGAGATGAAGTCACCTGGTTTACATATTGGAGAATCCTCGAACAAAGACTTCATCGGAAAATGCAACGATAACCGGAGTTGGAAAGCTTTCCATAATGGGGTAACAAGTAGCTTATGGCTTCAGAACCAATGGTTTGCATTCCCTTCATCGTCACCATCTTTAGCAAGAGTAGATGAGTGGGTTAGAGGTCTTGATGTGGAAACTACACAGCCTGCAGATGATATGAATGGTCTTGTTGGCTCAACTTTTCCATTTACTGTAGGCACTTGTAAATCACCAGCAATGAACAGACCACACTCGAATCTCCGTTCAGACCGGATTCCGTCCAAGGAGGTGTTATACACCAATGATGTCATTCAGACACTCAGTTATTCCTCTGCTGTTGCTCACATTCAGGAATAAATCTGAAAGCTATTCCAATGATCTCAGATTTCACCAGCCTTCGATCTGTCAACTTGTCAAACAACTTTATAGGTATGCTCTTAAGAGAAGTTACCCATAGTTTTATATATGATTATGATTCTTGCTTTCTTGCAGTCCAAGTTACTCCAGGATCACTTCCAAAGGGCATTCACACACTCAACTTGTCAAAGAACAAGATCAACAACATCGAAGGACTCCGAGAATTAACTCGGTTGCGAGTAATTGACCTCAGCTACAACCGCATTGCTCGAATCGGACATGGTAAATAACTTGTGAACCTGTTTCTCCTCAAGTAAATAGCATGTAACACAACTGCATTGTGGTTTTTATAATGCCAGGGTTGTCAAACTGCACATTGATCAAAGAACTGTACCTTGCTGGGAACAAGATAAGCGATGTTGAAGGGCTTCATCGGCTTCTCAAGTTAACAGTCCTAGACCTTAGCTTCAACAAGATGTCGACGACAAAGGCATTGGGCCAGCTTGCTGCCAACTACAACACATTGCAAGCATTGAATCTGTTGGGAAATCCATTTCTGAGCAACAACACTGATGAACAGCTTCGGAAGGCGGTTTGTAGCTTGCTTCCGAAGCTTAGGTACTTAAACAAGCAACCCATTAAACCACAAAGGGCAGGGGAAGTGTTAACGGATAGCGTTGCCAAGGCTGCCCTGGGGAGTGGCAGTTGGAGCTCAGGAAGAAAGGCAACAAAAAGAGCAAGGCACGGTGGATCAACGTTCTCCAATGCGCACAGGAATGGTGTGGCAATTGGTAAAAAGAACAGGAAAAGATTAAAGAGCCGAAGTCGTCATCTCTGACCTCTAAACTCGCATGTTTTGGTAAGTCATTTTCCGGAAAATCTTTTATTTGTGACACTTCTTGCCGTTCAAAAGACATATATTCCCACCCGTGCATTCAAGTTGTTCCAAATCAAATCATCAATGCAGGAGCTCTTCATTTTTAACATGAAGAATTTCTTTAAAAAATCGTCGATCAAATTTAAGATCCCTAAAAAAAATAGTTTCCAAGCACCGATTTCTCTAAATGATTGAAAAATTGAAGTGAACGTGATTTTTTAAAGCACTTTATATTGAAATTCAAACAGCAAAAAGAAGCTTTCGCAAATGGGCATTTAAAAGAATCAAATGAAAGTGTAAAGATATTTCAACATTCTTTTTTGTTTTTTTCTAAGCTTGTAGAAACATCCCTTCGATTGTGGTCTGTACGAGATAACCATGTTCCTTCCTGCGCCATTTTGATTTTAGAGTGTCTTTCTTTAAAAAAAAAAAACTTTATTACTAACTTATCACATTATTAAAGTAGCGGAGATTAACGTTTTATTAACAAAAATTGTTATAATTCGATAATATAAGTAGGAATTGTAACTTGTATGCCCATCCAAATTCGAACTAAAAATTGAAATCCTGCACCTGACTCAGCTCAAGTTTAGGAGTGTTCCACCTAATCCGAAACTCAATCCAATATTTTAGATTAAAAGATGTACTCAATCTGACTCAATCCAACCTGACCTTTCTCTCTCTATGT